CTACCAGCTGACAAGCTCTCTGAGGACAAGATGGCACTGGCAAGCTGTTTGGAAAAAGAAATGACACTGATCAGCGATTTGGGCACAAAAATGGCTATTTGGAAACAAAAGTGGCACTGACAAGATGGGGACAAAGATATTTTGAGACCAAAATATCTCTAATTAGCTATATTGGGACACAGATGACACCGATTAGCTATATTGGGACACAGAGATGGCACCGATTAGCTATATTGGGAGAGAGAGATGGCACTGATTAGCTATATTGGGACACAGAGATGGCACCGATTAGCTATATTGGGAGAGAGAGATGGCACTGATTAGCTATATTGGGAGAGAGAGATGGCACTGATTAGCGGCATTGGGACACAGAGATGGCACCCGATTAGCTATATTGGGGAGAAGAGATGGCACTGATTAGCTACTATATATTGGGAGAGATGGCACTGATTAGCTATATTGGGACAGAGGAGATGGCACTGATTAGCTATATTGGGACCACAGAGGTAGCACCGATTAGCTATATTGGGAGAGAGAGATAGCACTGATTAGCTATATTGGGAGAGATGGCGATTAGCTATATTGGGACACAGAAATGGCACCGATTAGCTATATTGGGACACAGATACACCGATTAGCTATATTGGGACACAGAGATGGCACCGATTAGCTATATTGGGAGAGAGAGATGGCACTGATTAGCTTTATTGGGACACAGAGATGGCACCGATTAGCTATATTGGGAGAGAGAGATGGCACTGATTAGCTATATTGGGAGAGAGAGATGGCACTGATTAGCTATATTGGGACAGAGAGATGGCACTGATTAGCTATATTGGGACACAGAGATGGCACCGATTAGCTATATTGGGAGAGAGAGATGGCACTGATTAGCTATATTGGGAGAGAGAGATGGCACTGATTAGCTATATTGGGACACAGAAATGGCACCGATTAGCTATATTGGGAGAGAGAGATGGCACTGATTAGCTATATTGGGACAGAGAGATGGCACTGATTAGCTATATTGGGACACAGAAATGGCACCGATTAGCTATATTGGGACAGAGAGATGGCACTGATTAGCTATATTGGGACACAGAAATGGCACTGATTAGCTATATTGGCACAGAGAGATGGCACTGATTGGCTATATTGGGACAAAGTTGGCACTGGGAAGCTGGGCACAATTTAGCTATTTGGGGGCAAAGTTGGCACTATAGGAAGTGAGTGACATGTGACCTGGGTTGGAGGTGGAGTGATTTCCATAGAAAATGGGTGTGGTTAGAAGTGTTATGTTTGTAAAGGGGAGGAGCTAGCAATATAGCCACACCCACAAGGAAGTGGGCACCAAAAATATTCTTGCAACCAGGCATCAGTGACCCCAGGATCTGCCCCGGCACCACCGCCAAGTGTTTAATTATCCCCCTTAAACCATAAAAAAATGTTTTTATATTTTCGAAAGACCACTCGACAGTCACAAATATTAAACATCAATAATGGCTAGCTACACGTTTTACACCCCACAAGGCCCTAACCGGGTCCTAACCGGTCTGCGCTCGCAGCTCCCCAACGGGGTCCTAACTGGCCTGCGCTCGCAGCTCCCCAACGGGGGCCCTAACCGGCCCGCGCTCGCAGCTCCCCAACAGGGTCCTAACCGGCCCGCGCTCACAGCTCCCCATCCTGCCCTGCAGCTCTCTCTGTTATTCCTGTACTGACCCCACACACAGCTCTCTCACTACACCTCCATCCTGCCCTGCAGCTCTCTCTGCTATTCCTGTACTGACCCCACACACAGCTCTGTCACTACACCTCCATCCTGCCCTGCAGCTCTCTCTGCTGTTCCTGTACTGACCCCACACACAGCTCTGTCACTACACCTCCATCCTGCCCTGCAGCTCTCTCTGCTATTCCTGTACTGACCCCACACACAGCTCTGTCACTGCACCTCCATCCTGCCCTGCAGCACTCTCTGCTATTCCTGTATTGACCCCACATACAGCTCTGTCACTGCACCTCCATCCTGCCATGCAGCTCTCTGCTATTCCTGTACTGACCCCACACACAGCTCTGTCACTGCACCTCCATCCTGCCCTGCAGCTCTGTCTGCTATTCCTGTATTGACCCCACATACAGCTCTGTCAGTATACCTCCATTCTGCCCTGCTACTCTTTTCGCATCCCATTCATGCAGTGGTCACTAATTTCTCATATGTCTCTAGGTGTCATGTTTCTCCATACCTGTTCCATCCCTGCTGTCTCTTCTTAGTTCTCCTGACATCTGAAAGTCGATGCTGGCATAGGTGTTGCTACAAGGAATAGCTCCTAGCAGTCCATTTTTTGTTGGCTGCGTCACAGTTGGACCCACCAGCACAGAAGAGGGCAGAGCACCTCCATCTTTGGCCAGGTCCAGATCAATATAATTGAGACCAGACTCCTGTGCCGGTGAGCGGTTTCCATTGCAGGCTGTGGAGGGCACGTTGCTTGAGGTATCAGAGCAGTGCCTTATACGTGAAGGTAGATCAGCCCTTGCTGACTTTGTGCGATCCTGCCCCTTGTGGAGACCACATGCTGTGACAGCAGAAACCAAACACCTTATATCTCCATCCTCTGAGCTTGGACGCACTGCCAAGGCCTTTTCTATGAACCCGAATGGATGCTCCGTAGAATTCTCAGATCCCAATTTGGCATTAGAACACATTTCCATTGGCACAGAAGGCCAAAAAGTCATATCTGCAGTGGGTTTGAAAGATTTTTCTAAGGCTGAAGTTGCTATTAAAGCCTTTTCTATAGCAGGTCTACTCTTTGTTTCTGTAGTAGGCATAGAGAAAAAGGAGTTTTCTGTAACTCGCCTTAGAGACTGTCCCATTTCATTCCCAGATGTTGGTTTAATTTTAGGTTCAAAAACCATTTCTGTGTAACCTCCATTGGGGGCTTGGGCGTGCTGTGTTTCCATGTCAATGTATTCATTCTGATGAATGGCTACTTCCTTAGAGGTGGTCTTTTCATGATTGGCACTGAAGTGAATTCGGACATACTCCCCAGGGCTTGGTGGTCTACGATAGTTCCTGGCCAGGCTGCTTGTTCTCCATGAGTCCACAGAAACACTGAGAGGCCTGCGAATTTTTTCCCCAACAGCCTCTTCCAGACTGTCAGAAGATGAGCCAGAGTGGTGGGCTGCATGTGTTGGATCCATCTTGTATGAACGAGGCAATGAACGATAAGATGTAGGGACCCTTGATGCTTTCTCAAAAGAGGACTCATGTGGTGGTGGGGTGATGGAGGCCGAGCGGCTGAGTGGCCACATATTCATATAATCAGAAGAGTGGCTATCCTCACTGCCAACAAAAATTTCCCCAGAGGGAAGCCAGCTGGCTCGCTCGGTCTCAGGAGAACAGCTGCCGAGAGGAGACATCATAACATAGCCAGCTGTTTCCACGGGTGCAGGTGGTGAGATACTATTGGGGGTCATAGGCATGTAATCTTGGCATCTGGTACCAGGTAACATGGGCATGTAACCGGCTTCTCTATGTTCGCATTTGCCCATCATAGCATACTTTTCCTCTTCTTCAAACTGTGCCACTCTACCTCCTTCCTCTTCAGCAGGTCCGGTGGCAGCAGTAGTATCTGCAACTACAGATTTCCTCCTATTCTGTGCCATTGAAATGTAGTTGGTTTCTCCAGACACTGGAGAAGGCGGTAGAAAAGCTTGAGGCTCGAATTGGCTGGGGCTAGAGCCATACTCATCTGATGAAGCAGATCCGTAGTCAGCAGAGGTGCGAGTTGTTTCCACTCGTGGACGTTTTTCTTCCTCTTCCTCTGGAGGGCTCTGGTTTCCAGGGGAAGAGTGGCATTTTGGCGCAGGAGAACTGTCAATGTTTGCTTCAGCTTTAGAGCGCTGAGAAAAACCCACCTGGCTGGGTGGAGGAGGGTTTGGATGGTGACGGCGAGATGGAACTGTGATTGGAGTGGAGGAGAGGGATTGACTCTTGGTGCGTGGACGAAATTCTTCACTAAGGGATTTCATAGCCTCCAAAATGGTTTCGTGCATATTTTGAGCAACAACAGAGTCTTCCACCTAAAATACGAGGGAGACTAGTCATTAGTATGACAACACATACACATAAGGGAGAAACTGAAGTCTCAATCTCCTATCTTGTAATAATATAAAATGTAAACCCTGGGGACTTTTTACTGGGTTGTGCTTCTAAACTTCTAATGCAAGGATAAGTTGGCAACAGATTTGATTCATTTCCAGTGCATTAAACACAAACTGGAAGAGTTTGGGACTCGCAGCGTTCTAGAAATCTATGGCCCATTTGTGTCAAGACTTGTACAGCTTCGGCAGAACAGTTAACTTTTTTTTTTTTTTTTTAAATAAATGTACTTGAAATGTGTTAAAGTACATGGCACTCTTAAGAAATACATTTTTCCCAAGTAACTCCTGGTCACTTTAACCTTAAAACAGGGCAGGTTCCTAAAACCCAATAACAAACACTACTCTGGTTAAATAATTAGCATGCACAAAAAACAGCATTGTTCTGCTATCAGAAGAATGTGATGGCGACCTATTTGTTCACCGTTACCTTAAATTTTGGAAGGCATAAAGTATGAAAAGGATATATGGGGAAGGCGAGATTTTTGAAATGCAGTCATTAAAAGTGGGAATGATTTTTACATGTTAACTGTGACCAACGGGATCCACAGGGACATCACGCCACTTTACTAATGGCAACAGTTTGATCAGTTACGTATCCCTTAGGAAACCGTCGTTGAGAATTTGGATGTAAAAAAAATAAATATATCATTTAAAAATGTAAAAAAACAAAACACAAAAACAAAAAAAACCTTCCAGTTATTTAAAGGGACACTACAGTCACCAGAACAACTACAGCTTATTGAATTTGTTCTGCTGAGTAGAATCATTACCTTCAGGCTTTTTGCAGTAAACAGTGTCTTTTCAGAGAAAATGCAGTGTTAACATTACAGCCTAGTGATAACTTCACTGGCCACTCCTCAGATAGCTGTTAGAGATCCTTCCTGGATCATGGCTGCCTAAAATGCATCCAAACATTCAGTGTCTCCTGCCTCTGCATGCAGACACTGAACTTTCCTCATAGAGATACATTGATTCAATTCATCTCTATGAGGAGATGCTGATTGGCCAGGGCTGTGTTTGAATCATGCTGGCTCTGCCCCTGATCTGCCTCCTTGTCAGCCTCAGCCACTCCTATGGGGAAGCACTGTGATTGGATCAGGCTACCACTTCTGATGATGTTAGCCAAGCTGGCAGATCAGGGACAGAGCCAGTAGCTGCAGACTTGAACAACAGTAAGATTTTACTATATTTAGTGAGTGCGGGGTGGGGGGTGAGGGGCAGGGGAACTAAATGGAGTTTTTAAACACTATAGGGTCAGGAATACATATAGTGTTCCTTTAAAATGTGCATAGGGATTTGGGATAGTGTGCCAATAACTCTTTTCTTTGGTTTTTATGGTATTTATTGGGACTGATGTGTACTATAGTCTTTGCTGCAGTCTAGGAGTAGTGGAAGTTTGAGCACAGGGCTTAATTTTGTATTTTAAAATGTCAAATATCCACTTATATATTGGAGGGATTTGCTGGTATATTTAGGAATGCTGATCCCTGAAATGCTGCCAGAATGTAAAACAGACTGACCAAATGCAGGTATTATCCCTTCGTGCAGTAAATCGTGTTTTCTGGCTAAAACCAGAAACCTGTATTTCGAAAGGAAAGCCAGCTGCTAATGTCCTAACGTGTTCATATTCTATGCTATTTACAAAGAACTAGACACACATTTATCTGTGTAGGCTCCAGTGCAGAACTACTGGGGGAAGGGATGACAACATACAGGCCCAGGCAAATGGACTGACCGGGGGTTGTGCAGAGAACTTCGTTTCTCAGTAGGGTGAGTACAAATGCTGGAGCAAAGTGGGACTTTAAATATTTTGCTTTGGTCAAATCCATCAATGATTAGTAGTTGACAGAGGATCTGAACGCTTTCGCCACAACAAATCGGAAAACTAATAAAGTATCTCAGCTGTTGGTTCTCAAAACATCAGCAAACATCAAAAGAATTTAAGTTACTGGCACGTTACAAAGGAAAACCTGTCTTTTACACGTTTTCTAAAAGAAAAGCTTTGTTTTACGCTTCCTTTGGCGAGGGTTATATTATAGTTTGCTTTGCTTTCATGTTGGGATGAGTTCACCAGAGGAATCGTTTTGCTATAGAAAAGACTACGAGTGTGAGAAGTGGATGGTCCCTAAAAAAAAACAAACAAAAAAAAAAAACATCTCGCCGGCTCTTACTATGTGCTGAAATACAAATATTTTACACATTCAGTGCAACCAATTAAAAAGAACTCAAAAATCGATGAATGTATCAGTCCTGATTTTTAAATGCCTAATAAATTTAGGATTGAACGTAATGCTAACCCTATACCAACCATACCAATTACCCAATGCCTACTGTAATCTTACCCTTAAATTCAACCCTACACTATCTAGAACACTAAGACAACAATAACCCATACCAAACATTAACCTTACCCAATACTACCTGTAACCCTACCTTACTCTTACCCCAACCCTAACCTTAACCCACTGCCAATATCATTTCTGATATAGAACACATTAGCTGGTGGTATGTTGCCACCATCTACTGGCAGCTTTTAGAATTACACATTGCAATTCTAAATAAAGCCTGGCTTCCGGACGATTATTTAGAGATTGGTGCTGGGTAGCTTGCAAAGCCCAGCACCAGTTCCAATTGGCTGGTAACAGGCTGGGGGATCCTTCCATGATATCCATTGATACCTGGGGAGAGTGGTGTGAGCAGGGATTTAACTGTGCTTACACTTTAATAGGAATTTAAAGCCCATTCTAGGTATCGTTCGGACGGAATGACACGTCCTACATCCGTCAAGGAGTTAAATTTGTAGTTTAAAGTTTCTGTGGTTGGTTTAGGATACATACCGCTCCCACCAGCATAGAGGAGAAAATAGACACTGATCTCCCCTCCTACGGTTTAACAAAATAAAGGCTCTAATTTTAATCTCCAGCAAAGAAAAAGAAACTTTAATATTATAAAGCAAAATCAAAGAAATTCAGAGAGTCGGTACACGAGGAGGTGGCGAGACATTAGATAGAAATCTAATATTACCAGCAATCTCATCTAAATATGTTTAATATCATTTCAAGCCTTTGTTTTAGTTTGTGCTATGATCGAATGTTTAAGACCACCACATTACCTGCATCCACAGCTCACCGGGACCAGTGACGGCCGATCGTCCCACCTCAACGAAAAAGAAGTTGTCGGAATGACCACAGCGACGTACATTCATTAGCTGGAGCGTGACGGAAGGCGTCTCCGAGCGCAAGCGAAGCAAGCTCAGGGTACGCTCAGTGAGGCATAGCCGGTACGTCCCAGATAGGTTGCGAGTCTGCCCCAAACCTCGGGGACGCAAGCTGACCTGCCATACCTCTCGAAAGGGTGGACCTGGCCATACAGTACACTCTGAAGAAGACAACGTCAAGGCTCGAGCTAAGAAAGGAGAAAATACAACAAAGTCATTAATAAATTTTATATTACAATACTGCCTCGATTACAAAATAGATTTACTTTTAATCATCTAAAAGCATTAAACAATCATTTTACTCATATACACACGGAAAACACTTCTTTTATCTCGACAGATCTCATGTCTGAGGAGAATGTGGACAAAGGTTTGAAGAATTCAGGAGCCAGGCAGACAAATCAAGGAGCCAACCGGTTTTGTATGATTTAATGTAAAATAAATCCAGTCTCTATCCATATCAGGAGCCCCACACTATCTCTGTAAGGTGTAAAGAAAATGGGGTAAAAACAGAAAAGCAAAGAGTTTGGAAAAAAGTTACCATTATTATTATTATTATTATTATTATTATTATCATCATCATCATCCGTTATTATTCCACTGAGCAGACAATCCCACGATTCTCGCTCAGCCCCCACCATACCTCTATTACGGTCCCTAATCTATCTCGCTATTTGAACTCCGTCTTATACATACAAAAACTCTGCACCTAGCGTGACATTACGAATTTAGGACCAATAATCCTCAGCCCCAGGAGGAACAGAGGGCCAAAAACCCAGATTTGTACTGTCTCTCCCCCCTGTGCATGTATCATTGCACAGTATCTGCTCCTGGCTGAGACCTACTAAAGGGGCCCGGCGCGGACAGGGAGTGGAGGCAGCCTGGCAAGTAAAGATGAGACTGGCACAATAAAATTTAGGGCGGAGGCACGCTGCTCTCCCTACAGAAGACACATGCCAACACATGCCACCCGTCTTCCAACCATCCCCTACAATTAGGAAATCGACCTTCAGAGTACAGGACCATAGGTATATCCTTTTTATAACTTACACGTACGTGTGTGCCTGGAAGAAACAGAGTTTGTAAAGAGCTACTCCAACCATCATCCCCGCAGTAGTGGTTATGGTGTTAGGAGTACCCTGGCGCTGTCTACCTGGTAATGAGATAAGCCATTTTACAACAGTTTTAACTCTTAGGTAGCAGGTGCTGGATCTCCTCTCTAGGCAGGTTTAGGATATACGGAGCTGCAAGGCGTTGTTGATTATGCCATTTATTCACTGGCGGAGAGCATAAGGTGACCGCCAATGACAGTGTCCGCGCATCAAAATTGGCATTAGCCAGCCCAGAACGACAACTTGTTAATGACAACCCAATCATGCTCCCGAAAGCGGGGTTGCACTTCCGCAAAGGGGTTAACTTGCATGGCCACAGAGTGGCTAGCAGGAGAGCTAGACAGCCATATTACGGCATGGTATTAGGGTACCTGGAGGTTTCTCTCCCATACTACTGTAAAAAGATCTGTCGTGTCCATTCTTGGGGTGATAAGTCACCCTCGGTGGACAGGCAGGAGCTAAGCGCCCCCCCCCCCCACAGTCACATTGAGAGAAGCGCAGGGGGTTAATGCATGTCTTTGCCATGTCCAGCAGTGCGAGCCAGACTCCTGATACAAATCTCATCACCCAGAGCCATCCAGGGTTGTAGTTACCTAGTGATGGAGGCAAGGACCCAGAGGCAAGGAGTTAATATAGACCCTCTGCAGAAAAACAAGTCCAGTGACGCCAGTATAGCCATAGCAACACACCTTTTCCGTGAACTAGCTCCGTAACCCTGGCAACCAGGAGTCAGGATTCGGGCCTAGTTAGAGATATTAGGGTGTGGATCATGCAGGAGAGCCACACCTCAAAATTGATGGGGTGTCTATCAACCATTAAATTTATATTACACTAAAAAATACAGCAACACATTCTATATATTTAATCAATATCCCCCCCATGTCCGCTGAACGCAGTCTGTGACGTCCTGTTATATTAAAAGAAGCACGCAGCACATTGCAAACAGATATTTCAGGGAAATCTCCTGGGATCGGCGCACACGGAACATAGAAATAAGACTGAGCGTGTGCACTTTCAACACTTTACATCTCACAGGGGTTAAAGCTCGGTCCTCGGGGTTTGTAAAACAAGTGTTTAACATGTAAATCAGCCAATTAGCAACTGCTCTGAGCAAAATGCTAATCTGATGATCCGAAATTCCCAGCAGAGGCGGATCGGAAGCATTATCAATTTCGAAAGCTGAAACTGGCCTTTCTTAGGAGATTGCAGGGTGTGAGGGGAAGACCTGTAACCCCAGGACATCTCAACACGTTGCTCACAGCAAAGCGTAACAATGCGATCCGAACCCTGAAATGTGTTATATCACACCTGTCCGTGATCCAAACCAGTAAACTTTAACAAACACATCTCTCACACATTACTACACCATGCCATGTATACACAGCACAGGTACAGCACAGACAGCGGCGGTGCCAGCCTCCCCTCACACACTACTACACCATGCCATGTATACACAGCACAGGTACAGCACAGACAGCAACAGTGCCAGCCTCCCCTCACACACACTACTACACCATGCCATGTATACACAGCACAGGTACAGCGCAGACAGCAACAGTGCCAGCCTCCCTTCACACACTACTACACCATGCCATGTATACACAGCACAGGTACAGCACAGACAGCAACAGTGCCAGCCTCCCTTCACACACTACTACACCATGCCATGTATACACAGCACAGACAGTGGCAGTGCCAGCCTCCTCACACACACTAAACCATGCCATGTATACAGCACAGGTACAGCACAGACAGCGGCGGTGCCAGCCTCCCCTCACACACTACTACACCATGCCATGTATACACAGCACAGGTACAGCACAGACAGCAACAGTGCCAGCCTCCCTTCACACACTACTACACCATGCCATGTATACACAGCACAGGTAAAGCACAGACAGTGGCAGTGCCAGCTTCCCCTCACACACTACTAAACCATGCCATGTATACACAGCACAGGTACAGTACAGACAGGGGCAGTGCCAGCCTCCCCTCACACACTACTAAACCATGCCATGTATACACAGCACAGGTACAGCGCAGACAGCGGCAGTGCCAGCCTCCCCTTACACACTACTACACTATGCCATGTATACACAGCACAGGTACAGCGCAGACAGGGGCAGTGCCAACCTCCCCTCACACACTACTACACCATGCCATGTATACACAGCACAGGTACAGCACAGACAGCAACAGTGCCAGCCTCCCTTCACACATTACTACACCATGCCATGTATACACAGTACAGACAGTGGCAGTGCCAGCCTCCCCTCACACATTACTAAACCATGCCATGTATACACAGCACAGGTACAGCGCAGACAGCGGCAGTGCCAGCCTCCCCTTACACACTACTACACTATGCCATGTATACACAGCACAGGTACAGCGCAGACAGGGACAGTGCCAACCTCCCCTCACACACTACTACACCATGTATACACAGCACAGACAGCGGCAGTGCCAGCTCCCCTCACACACTACTACACCATGTATACACAGCACAGACAGTAGCAGTGCCAGCCTCCCCCTCACACACTACTACACCATGCCATGTATACACAGCACAGGTACAGCACAGACAGCAACAGTGCCAGCCTCCCCTCACACACACTGCTACACCATGCCATGTATACACAGCACAGGTACAGCACAGACAGTGGCAGTGCCAGCCTCCCCCTCACACACACTACTACACCATGCCATGTATACACAGCACGGGTACAGCGCAGACAGCGGCAGTGCCAGTCTCCCCTCACACACTACTACACCATGCCATGTATACACAGCACAGACAGCGGCAGTGCCAGCTCCCCTCACACACTACTACACCATGCCATGTATACACAGCACAGGTACAGCACAGACAGCGGCAGTGCCAGCCTCCCTTCACACACTACTACACCATGCCATGTATACACAGCACAGGTACAGCACAGACAGCAACAGTGCCAGCCTCCCTTCACACACTACTACACCATGCCATGTATACACAGCACAGGTACAGCAAAGACAGTGGCAGCCTCCCCACACATTACTACACCATGCCATGTATACACAGCACAGGTACAGTACAGACAGGGGCAGTGCCAGCCTCCCCTCACACATTACTAAACCATGCCATGTATACACAGCACAGGTACAGCGCAGACAGCGGCAGTGCCAGCCTCCCCTTACACACTACTACACTATGCCATGTATACACAGCACAGGTACAGCGCAGACAGGGGCAGTGCCAACCTCCCCTCACACACTACTACACCATGCCATGTATACACAGCACAGGTACAGCGCAGACAGCGGCAGTGCCAGCCTCCCCTCACACACTACTACACTATGCCATGTATACACAGCACAGGTACAGCGCAGACAGCGGCTGTGCCAGCCTCCCCTTACACACTACTACACTATGCCATGTATACACAGCACAGGTACAGCACAGACAGCAACAGTGCCAGCCTACCCTCACACACTACTACACCATGCCATGTATACACAGCACAGACAGCGGCAGTGCCAGCTCCCCTCACACACTACTACACCATGCCATGTATACACAGCACAGGCAGGGCCGTCTTTAACGCGGGGCAAACGGGGCAGCTGCCCCGGGCCCAGTTTCTCTTGGGGGGCCCGAGGCACCTGCCCCGTGGGCCCCGCTGCCCTCATCAATTAATTTTTTTCCCCATCCTCTGAGTCCCACCGGGTGGCCCATGCACTTAGGGCAGTGGCGTACATACCAGGGTCGCGGCTGCGACCCTGGTATGCACCCACAAGGCCAGCGTCTTCCCCTGGGGGGCCCAGGAGGCGGCCACCCCAGGGCCCCCCGAGGCTGGCCCTGCTGACCCCGGCGGGCCGGTGGCCGGTCGGGCAGGAAGGCGGGCGCGCGAGGGAGCACTCAGTGCTTCCTCTTCAGCTCCCTCGCACACCGCACTGATACCGGAGCCGGAAGATGACGTCAGCAGCACCACTGGACCCCAGGGAATCCCACCCAGCACTCCAAAAGGTAAGGAGGCTGGGGAGATTACATTTTTTTTAAAAAAATGTGTGTCTGTGTGTGTTAGTGTCTGTGTGTGTTAGTGTCTGTGTGTGTCAGCGTCTGTGTGTGTCAGCGTCTGTGTGTGTCAGCGTCTGTGTGTGTCAGCGTCTGTGTGTGTGTGTGTGTGTGTAGTGTGTGTGTGTGTGTGTGTGTGTGTGTGTGTGTGTGTTAGTGTGTGTGTGTGTTAGTGTGTGTGTGTTAGTGTGTGTGTGCAGTGTGTGAGCATGTCTGTGTGTGTCAGCATGTCTGTCTGTCTGTGTGTCAGTATATATGTGTGTGTATATCTGTGTATGTGTCAGTATGTCTGTTAGTGCATGTGTATGCATGTGTCAGTATATCTGTCTGTGTGCCAGTATGTCTGTGTGTGTGTGTGTGTGTCAGTATATCAGTTTATGTGCCTGTGTGTGTGTGTCAGTATTTCTGTCAGTGTATGTATGTCAGTATGTTGATCAGTGTATGTGTCTGTGTGTGTGTGTGTCAGTATGTCTGTATATGTGCCTGTGTCAGTATGTCTGTCAGTACGTCTACCAGTGTATGTGTCAATATATGTACCTGTGTCAGTGTGTCTGTCAGTGTATGTGCCTGTTTATCTGTATGTAGTCAGTGTATGTATCTGTGTATCTGCTTGTGCGTCAGAGTGTGTACCTGTGCATCTGAGCCGCAACTTTAAATACAAATACACCCCTCCATTCAAACTTCAACACTACATATAAAACACACTCCTGCATTGAAACGTCAACACTACATACAAGCACACTCCTACATTCAAAAACAAACACTACACATAAATGCACACTTGCATTCAAACTCCAGTACCACATACAAACACATTCACACAAACATACTCCATACAAACACATGCTTACATTCAAACATACTAACATGGCTCAGTGCTAAATACAACCCTGCAAGCATGGGAAATTGGTAGAGTCCCAGCTGTCAAAGCATTGTTGGAGTTGCACGACAGATGGGGTTCTACCTTTAGTCCAACCTTGCAATTGGGGGTCCCAATAAAATTAATTCTACTTTAGTACCGCCACTGCGTTGGGATGGATGCCGTGATTGCATACCAGGGAGTGAGGGGCGAGAGCGGCAGGGCACAGGGGGCCCAAGCAAACACTTGCCCAGGGTCCATTCGTTATTAAAGACGGCCCTGAGCACAGGAACAGTACAGACAGCGGCAGTGCCAGCCTTCCCTCACACACAGCACACCATGCCATGTATACACCACACAGGTACAGTGCAGACAGCAGCAGCGCCAGCCTCCCCTCACACACTACTACACCATGCCATGTATACACAGCACAGACAGTGGCAGTGCCAGCTTCCCCTCACACACTACTAAACCATGCCATGTATACACAGCACAGGTACAGTACAGACAGCGGCAGTGCCAGCCTCCCCTCACACACTACTACACCATGCCATGTATACACAGTACAGACAGTGGCAGTGCCAGCTTCCCCTCACACACTACTAAACTATGCCATGTATACACAGCACAGGTACAGTACAGACAGTGGCAGTGCCAGCCTCCCCTCACACATTACTAAACCACAGCACAGAGTGTGGCAGGGCAAGCCTCCCCTCACACACTACTACACCATTCCATGTATACACAGCACAGAGTGCGGCAGTGCCAGCCTCCCCTCACACACAGCACACCATGCCATGTATACAACACACAGGTACAGTGCAGACAGCGGCAGCGGCAGTGCCAGCCTCCCCTCACACACTACTACACCATGCCATGGCAGTGCCAGGTACAGCGGCAGTCCAGTCCTCACACACTACTACACCATGCCATGTATACACAGCACAGGTACAGCACAGACAGCGGCAGTGTCAGCCTCCCTTCACACACTACTACACCATGCCATGTATACACAGCACAGGTACAGCACAGGTACAGCGGCAGTGCCAGTCTCCCCTCACACACTACTACACCATGCCATGTATACACAGCACAGGTACAGCGGCAGTGCCAGTCTCCCCTCACACACTACTACACCATGCCATGTATACACAGCACAGGTACAGCGCAGACAGCAGCAGTGCCAGCCTCCCTTCACACACTACTACGCCATGCATACACAGCATAGGTACAGCGCAGACAGCGGCAGTGCCAGCCTCCCTTCACACACTACTACACCATGCCATGTATACACAGCACAGGTACAGCACAGACAGCGGCAGTGCCAGCCTCCCCCTCACACACTACTACACCATGCCATGTATACACAGCACAGGTACAGCGCAGACAGCGGCAGTGCCAGCCTCCCCTCACACACTACTACACCATGCCATGTATACACAGCACAGGTACAGCGCAGACAGCGACAGTGCCAGCCTGCCCTCACACATTACTACACCATACCATGTATACACAGCACAGGTACAGCGCAGACAGCGGCAGTGCCAGCCTCCCCCTCACACACTACTACACCATGCCATGTATACACAGCACAGGTACAGTACAGACAGTGACAGTGCCAGCCTGCCCTCACACACTACTACACCATGCCATGTGTACACAGCACAGGTACAGCACAGACAGCTGCAGTGCCAGCCTCCCCTCACACACTACTACACCATGCCATGTATACACAGCGACAGTGCCAGTCTCCCCTCACACTACTACACCATGCCATGTATACACAGCACAGGTACAGCGAAGACAGCGGCAGTGCCAGCCTCCCCTCACACACTACTACACCATGCCATGTATACACAGCACAGGTACAGCGCAGACAGCGGCTGTGCCAGCCTCCCCTCACACACTACTACACCATGCCATGTATACACAGCACAGGTACAGCACAGACAGCGGCAGTGCCAGCCTCCCCTCACACACTACTACACCATGACATGTATACACAGCACAGGTACAGCACAGACAGCGGCAGTGCCAGCCTCCCCTCACACACTACTACACCATGACATGTATACACAGCACGGGTACAGCGCAGACAGCGGCAGTGCCAGTCTCCTCTCACACACTACTATACCATGCTATGTATACACAGCACAGGTACAGCACAGACAGCGACAGTGCCAGCCTCCCCTCACACACTACTACACCATACCATGTATACACAGCACAGGTACAGTACAGACAGCGGCAGTGCCAGTCTCCTCTCACACACTACTATACCATGCCATGTATACACAGCACAGGTACAGCACAGACAGCGACAGTGCCAGCCTCCCCTCACACACTACTACACGATGCCATGTATACACAGCACAGGTACAGCACAGACACACTCAGTGATGAATGGGGAGAAAAGGAAAGCTGTGCCATTAAGCATATTTTCTCAGAATCACACAAAGCAGCCAATGTCATTCACACTATTGTTAATAAGCATTCAGTAGTCATGCTTTCTAGCCTGCAGCCCAGACACTCAGTGTGCGCTGAGCGCCGGGGAGCCCGTCCAAGTCAATCTTGGCCCGTGCCGCAGCTGTCTACGCAGCCCAAACACTAAGCGAACATGGTGTTTGTTCCCATGACTCCTTACAGGCTTTGTTATTGTGACATTAATTGGCACAACGTGGGGATGGCTGTGTTCCTCCGAGCAGGCCTTAACAAATCTTTAAAATGGAGTTAAAAATCCCTGCATGCGCTGGGTTAATACTTTAATCAGATCAGATATTATACACATTACACACGGCCCCATTATACAGGGCTCTCACATTACCAGTTATCATTCTTATCTACTGTGGCCTGATCTGACAGATTATCCACCACAACCAGCACTTCTGCATATTAATGGACAGCCGGTCAACAATTCTGCCTTGCAGTAATAAGTATTCAAATGCAAGAGGAGAGAAATTAAAGTATTATCAGGAATTCTAGAATGGCACATGAATGCTGCATACTACAGGGCAGGCATCCCGGGATGGCACGTGAATGGCACCATCTGCAGGGCAGCACTTTCCCCCTGTTGCACACACCTGCAATAAGGCTACCACATCATCCTTTGACACAGCTGAAGCCATTCTCCCGATGCCAGATGAGGGAAAGGTAGGTAATTAGAAAATGCAAGCAAAGTGAATGAAATTAATAATTTAAAATTTTTCTACACCTCTGCCCAGGAACTGGTGAGTACCCTCCCCTTTTCCCCCATCTTAATGTCCCTCATGTGTCACAATGTATCCCCTTATGACCCAACCCCTTATCCCTGCCAGCAGTCATGTCCTCCCTTCCTTAAGATTTCCAGGGAGGTACTTTCCCCCTGTTGCACATCAACAGAAAAACACTGGAATGTAGAGATTTGAAATTCAAATGGCACAATGTCACTGATTTTTTTTTATTTAACTCATTGCAGTTTGGGGTTCAGTGTATTAAAAACGATGATGGTATTTACTATAGTGAGACTTCAAAGTGAATTTCTAATCTATGGCTAATGCGGCTGGACTGAAGGTATAAGGGACAGAACATTTTCAGTGAAGCTATGATGACCGTAAATCTGAAATTTCCTTTATTAACTAACCCTGTTTTTTAGAAAACCATAGTAGATTTAGCATCCCTATTCCCGTCACGCCCCTGACCGCTCTTCTCAGATTGCTGCAATCTTCAGAGGAACCATCAAGTTTGAGGTGGTGACAGTGCTACTGGGGCGAGCAGTGCTATGGTGGCAAGTATGGGCTATAGAAGAATGGAGGAAAGTATACGACACTAGTATATGCATCAAGTCTGGGTGCAGATTCCACTATCTCCCCACTAAATACCCAGCACAGAAATGTGGTATGTGGCTTATCTCGTTACACCGAACGAGCGCGAGTAAACACTCAGACATTCGTTCTAGGATGCCATGCATGTGGGCATCGGGAATAAACTGGTTTCAGATCATATTCCAAGCTCAGCCTTGACAGGTTCACATGGGATATAAACTAAAAACACTTATTTTAATAATAAAGAAAATATAGCAGTTTAATTGTGAAAGGCAAGGTGAGACCTTTCGTGCAAAACCAAAGGTCCGAAAAAAGCCTGTTCTTGATATTGTTCTGTAGGCCTCAAACATTAAGACAAAGACAATCATTTTTCACAGCGTAACTAATCGGGAGTTCAGTTTTATTTTACCGACAAACCATTCGTATTTCACTTTGTCCATCAAAGTGATCACAAGGAGATAAATGACTTTCATACAGAGAATGTTATTAGCGGGATTAACTAAACCCCAATAATACTGGCTTCAAAGAAAGAAACCTCACCACTGGCGTCTAAAGAAAGAGTATTATACACAACGCCAAGAATGGCATCTCCGTCGGACAGGGCTTGGAAAAATTACAGGGTCGGCTCCGACATTTCTTTGGCTCCTAAACTCCACAAACGTTTAACTCCTTCACAATCATATTCAGAGCTCCTTAGACGTTGCACATTACTGCGCCCTGAGTAGGGTAAACCGATTGTATGTGCGGCTGTCTCACTACCACACTACAAGTTGTGGGGTGCGAGACTGCTCATTTAATAAAGCAAAAATTCAAGGTGAATGTAAAGAGAATCCAACATTTAAGGTCAAACTAGCGAAAATTTACAAATGATCTGCTTTCATTTAATTTATATTGACCTTAAATTTTAAATAATAAATGTTGAATTCTCACTTATTAAAGTAAAGAACGTTAGTCTTTACTGGCGTACATATAGTAATGCAGTAAAACCCAGGAAGGCCGAAATACAGAATATCAAGGTTATTTACAAGAAGTGAGCATTCAACGTGAATTTAAGGACAAAGTAGCCAAACTGAGACCATAACGCACTTCAGAGAATGTTTCCAGTTGGGCTATTTTGACGTAAAATTTGAAATTAACTTTGAATTCTCACATTCGTGAATATCCCTGTTAGTCTTGATATAGCCATTTGCTGGCACAATGCATACATGAAATGTTACACTCTTTAAAGTGATTTAAGTTATGTTCGGCATGACAGGTGCAGTTTATTACTGCGTTTATTGGTTCTCTGCCTTTTTAACACGTTACACAAAGTTCACATGTACATTAGAAGCGCTTATTACACCAACCAACTTTTGGCCAAAAAATAGCAAAATAAGAAAAATGCCAACTCGGCAGTCAGATTGAGATTATTCTAACTCAGCTATTTTGGCCTTTGCTTTCCATGTGGGTGGACAAATCAGCACAAATGGCAGTACAGTCTAGAACGTCTTACATGATAATATGCACATTTTATGACACTTCGTTTTACCCTGTTCTTGCAGCTCCATGATGGCACGGTACCATTCCTCCTGCTCCTCTTCTCCCTCTGCAGAAACAGTGAGGCCACCATCGCGAGTGTAGAGAACCAGCAGATGCTTCCTTTTTGCGTCAGCCCGTTTGTTCACCCCAAATGCTTCTTCCAAGATTAACGTACCTCGCGGAACCCCAGACCCTTCAGCCAATCGGAACTTCTTCTCGTTCTCGTAGTACTCTAGACGTGCGGGCCCTCTGGAACCAGCAGTGCGGAGGACAAAGTACCTTCTGCGCATAGATTTCTGCTTTCGCAGATACCCAGATTTCTTCACTTCATCCATTCCCTAAATATTCTGTATTGTCTATGGCTAATTGGGTTGTATTCAGATCTCTGGGCAGCAGACCAAAAAATCGTTACCTAAAAACTCCCCCCATAAAATTCTAAATAATACAAAAGTCCAAAAAACTGCATGCATGGCAGTCTAAAAGGGGGGCAGCAAATGTTCTCTTAGTGTAGAAAATGTCTTTATTTCGTACAAAATAAATGTATATAATTTGAAACGGAACCAAAAAGTTTTTTTTGAATTGCAGTTTACAGAAAAAAAGGCAGGAATATCACTGAAATTAAAAATACATTCTCCAAAGAAGAGGTTCAGTCCTGAATCAATGCACCATCATTTGAGAAAGAAGAGTCCATATTGTGTGAGGTCTTGGGTTCCAAAGGAAAAAAAAACAAACAAAAAAAAACCTTTATGTTGTACAAATCATTTTTTCCCTTTTTGATGAGACTAAAATCTTCATGCTCAGAGCAGAGAGCGGAAATTATTTAGTCCCATTTTTTTTAATTTTATGTTAGTGCTGTAGGTCCACTAGAGGCCACAATATGCACTTTGTTTCAAAGATTATAAAAATAATAATAAAAATATCCAGGCGTCCGTCTAAGACTGCAGGGAAAGCAGATTTATGCATGCAGAAATAATAATAAAAAAATTAAAATTAAAAAAAAAATTAAAGAAAAAAAAAAAAATTCTAAAAAATTGGATATAGGGAACTGAAGTTTAGTATTGTCCGGGATTTAAAAATCGGACAGAAAATGCCTGGCAGCTTGATTTGTTAAGTTTGACAGATTGGTCATTCAACACATTTGCCTATTTGCAAAATATAGAATTCTGATCGACCAAATATCTGTGTCCCCCCCCCCCACAAAAAAAAGATTTACTAAAAGTAAAAGGCACGATTTCAAGGCAGAATTCCGTTTACAGCTCTGGGCCATTCACCTTTTTGGATACTAAACAGAAGTAAGAAAAATAAATCGATAATTTTAAACAGGCTCTAAGGTGATTCTAGTCTTTGGAAAAGGTGTAAGAAAATACTCCGAAAGTAACTGCACTTTCTCTATTCAAACGAAATAACTCGACTCCCTTTCAAAAATAGCTAATACTTTTAATTTTGAATAATTAAACCAGCAGTATTTTTGAAAAGATTAACAAATAAACCCACAGAAAATAAGACTCTGCAATAAGGCAATATTTGAATTTTACTGCAACAAAACCGTATTGTGTAATACCTAGTCTGTTTTATAAAATTCTATGTATTAATATAATCTTCCAGTTACTGAATACACTTACACATATCTGTAAGGCTTATGTGTTGGGTTATTTTGGCTACAAATCAAACCTCGATCTCCCCCCCCAAAAATAGTTAAAAATATCAGATCATGCTTAACCTGAGAGTATGCGATATACATTAACTTTCCTTGCTAGTTCACAGTGGCACGTCAAGTAGAAGTGAAGCGAACTTTTGATTTTTTTTTTTTAATAGTTTGCGAATGCTGCAGTTTGCATGGAGAAGCAGTCTGACGGACTACTTGCAGGAGAATAAAAAAAGTTTACGATATTGGGAGTTTTGCTAATTCTGCAAATTCTAGATAGCATGCAATGCCTGCAGACCCAGAGTAGCCAGGCAGATCATTCTGCAGACAGTACAGAGGTGGCAATGTAGTAAATCGGTTCCATTTAGCAGCTAATTAAAGATTTATGCAAATTGCAGTAAAAATGAATTGACAGGCAGGCAGGCCTCTCCTTGGGGTGTAAGCTTGCATTCAATTCCTATACATTCAAAGCTGGGGACATTGGGCAATGTCCAAACCCCCCCCCCCCCCAGCTCCCACTGCTGCCAGCAGACACAATGTATCCTGAAGTTGGCAATAATGTCTTACCCCAGAGCCCAGAGAGGAACTATGTGCACTGGGAGCTGTTGCAATAGCCCTGTCCTTTGCCCTTAATAGCCAGTGGGAGCTGTGCATGCAGGGGCCAGCCAGCCATTAGCAGCCCATGTGCTTTCCCTGGCCACATCCACAATCCTATACATAGGGCTGGCAGGCTCACTGCTGGCTGGGGGGAGCAAATACCTGCTTAACAATGCATTCTGTCTCTTCCATGCAGAGGCTGGCTCTGGGGAGCACTCCCAATCCTCCTGCAGGGTGCAGGCTGTGCATGCAGCTCTAGTTTGGGGGAGGGCTACCCTGCTGGGGAGATTGCATGGGACAAGCCCAGGCTGTGTGCATGTTTGCAGAGGGAGAGAGGGGGCAGATAGAGGGGACACAGCCAGCTAACTAAACTTGTTTTCTCCAATCTCCTCCCATGGTCAGACAGCTGGGAGAGCAGCCACATCACTGGGTCCTAGAGCCCACTGCCTGCTCCTAGCGGCCACAGGGGGAACTGCAGGCTCTACACCAAGCACACATTGCTAGAATTATGTTATATGATATTTATTTCTTTATTTATAAAATATTTTCCCAGGATGGATACATTGAGATTTCTCTCATTTTCAAGTATGTCCTGGGTGCACAAATCATTGCTTCGATACAATATGGTACAATATTACAAAATACAATATACAAACTATATATATATACACACATACACATACATGTATAAATTTAACACATAACAGGTGATAAATATATTCAGCCATGACAGGTGCATTCTGTGCTGAGGTATATTGCCATAGATCTCTTAAAAGATTTTAGATTGAATGAAGATTTGACTGTGTCCCTGAGGTTATTCCATAATTGCGGTCTCTGTAGGAAAAGGAGGATCGTGAAGGAATACCCAATCACTTGGTTTGGTAACATTTGTTTCTTTTATGTTTGTTTGCTTGTTCGCACCCACATAGCTCGGTTCCCGAAGGACCACCCCAACACCTCATTAGAACATGGAACACTAAGTATCCAGTACGAAACCACAACAGAAACTATTACTAAAAGGCCCCCCTGGGTGGCCGCCATCTTGTCTCCCGAACGCAGGTAGCGGTACCAGGTCGCCTGGAACTTTTTCGACTAGCCACTCTCGCAAACACCAGTGAAGATGGAACTGCTGCCCATTCAAGTTCCCGACCACCTATACGAACGGCGTTCGGGAGATATAAACTACCGAATGGGGGGAGCATTCACCCAGGGATGTATTTAGCCCAAGGAAAACTAGGCATTTGCCATGGGCGGCACTAATTAGGGGGCGGCAAAATATGCCACCTCCAAACGCCCACTGTGCCGTCCCCTGTCATTCCCCTGTCATGGGGGGGCAAGAGCTGACTTGCTGGCCAACTAATAGAGACCCGCCCCCCTCCCTTCCTCCCTCCAGCGGGCGGCTTACCATCCGAGACAGCGAGGGAGCTGTGATCCCTCACGCGCCTTTTACTGATGCCGTGGGAGCCGGAATATAACGTAATTCCGGCTCCCGGCATCAGTAGACAGCCCGTGCGGCGCAATGGACCAGAGCAAGGAGATCACAGCTCCCTCGCCGCCTCAGATGGTAAGCCGCCCACCACACTGGACCCCAGGGATGAATCCACACCAGCTCTCCAGGTGGGGAGGCTGGGTCGAAAACTTTTAATTACATTGATAAGTTGTGAGTGTATGTGTGTGTCTGTGAGTGTATGCCTGTATGTGTGTGTGTATCTCTGTGAGTATATGTGTGTGTCTGTGAGTGTCTGTTAATGCATGCGTGTGTCTATCAATGCGTGTGTGTGTGTGTGTGTGTGTCAAATCAGTGAGAGTCTCTGATTGTGTGACTATCCGTGTGTCTGACAATGAGAGTCAATGTGTGTCAGTGAATGTATGTGTGTCAAATTAGTGAGTCTGTGTTTGTCATTGAATATATGTGTGTGACTGTAAGTGTGTATCTGCCAATGTGTGTCTGAAATAAATGTGTGTCAAATCAGTGTGTCTGACTGTCAGTGACGTCTGTGTGTCTGTCATTGTATGTATGACTGTCAGTTTGTATCTGCCAGTGTGTGTCTCTCAGTGAATGTATGTGTCAGAGTGTGTGCTTAAAGGGACACTATACTAGCCCAGACCACTTCAGCTCATTGAAGTGGTCTGGGTGCAGTGTCCCAATCTCTTTAACCCTGCATGTGTAATAATTGCAGTTTCTCAGAAGGACGCCTTTATTTTTTGCGAGGTATCATACCAGTGGGTGAGGATTTTATAGTTGGTTTCTCTGTAGTTCTCACAAATCGAACTAAGCCAAGTGTAGTGAGCAATTTTGTCTAATTCCTGGGTCGTCAGTGTCATTTGGAGTGCTTCCTCCCATTAGGATTGGAACCTGAGAGGGGGATGTATCTCCGCACCCATTAGTAGTTGATAAAGTGTGGTGGGAGGAGCAATGACATAGCACGCTCACTACGCTCGTGGGTTTAGGAGCCGGGTGAAGGACAATGGAGGGAGAACACCCCAGTTTTGAAATAATGTGCTGACGGAGGATTGATGATACAGGGCATCGATCTAAAGAAATCTTTAGCAAGAACCCAGCATTTCAACAACGGAGGTGTTGTCTAGACAAGCTGTGAGACCTGGGCGTCTCGAGTGGGGTAACGCGCGATTTGCAGTTGCCGACAGGCTACTATGGAGGTCTGCCTGGTTGCAGCAGCATAAGAATGCAGAACTGTGGAGGACGCTGGACCTTGCGAGGAGGCAGGGAAATACCTGCGCAGCCTGCAGACCTGATCCTGAGAAGGGGGATCCCTTGCCCTATTGCTACAAAATCGCTACAAGGACACGTGAGTGAGCTAAAAGATCCCCAATTATACATATATAATCTGGCTTTGAAATAATCTGTATATGGATGGGAAAATAGTTGATAAAGTGTGGCTATACCATGGTACAAAGGTTACGTCCTTCTGCAGAGATCTTCCATAGCCATCAGAGATCTGTGCAGTTTAATCGTGTGAGACATCAGTGAAACAAAGTGGCGGAGTTGATGGTATCGAAGTGATTCCATAGCTGTGGGTGTTCTATCCGGTAGCAGATCAGCAAGGGGAATCAGCGCCGACTTGCGACACACATCTGGAAGGCGAACGTAGGGGCTCTTCCCCAAGAAGTCCAGTACGTCCCTCTCCAGTCCAGGGGATTATGCCGGATTTCCCGTCACCGGGTACATCAGCCAATCTGGAGTCGCATGTGAAAATTTTAATCTGATCTATTGCCAAATCTTCAGTGTAGCACCAATAAACAGTTGATCTTGAACCAGTGTTCCAGCCTCTGAATCCGTACGGCTGCTGGGATCAGACCTCTTGACATTCCCCTTTCAAGCAGACACCAAGATTTACAGGTGTGGGTGGCATGCACGATAGTATCCCTGAAAAGAGTGCAGCCCTTGGTCACCCTCATGCTTGGATCTCATTAGTTGTGTCCATATATAGGTCACCATAGTGGAATTCAGAGATATGAAAAATGTAGGCAAGGTCACTAAATATATATGGGATGGTGCAGAAATAGCCAGGTCATCTGAGTCTACAGAGAATGATAGTCAAGTACACTGAATCTACAGAAAATGATGTCTAAGGCCACTAAGTCTACAGGGAATGATAGCCAAGACCACAGAATCTATAGAGAATGATAGCCAAGACCACAGAATTTACAGGGAATGATAGCCAAGACCACATACTCTACAGGAAATGATAGCCAAGACCACAGAATCTACAGGGAATGATAGCCAAGACCACAGAATCTACAGGGAATGATAGCCAAGACCACATAATCCATAGGGAATGATAGCCAAGACCACAAAATCTATAGGGAATGATAGCCAAGACCACAGAATCCATAGGGAATGATAGCCAAGACCACAGAATCTACAGGGAATGATAGCCAAGACCATATAATCTACAGGGAATGATAGCCAAGACCACAGAATCTATAGAGAATGAAAGCCAAGACCACAGAATCTACAGGGAATGATAGCCAAGACCACAAAATCTATAGGGAATGATAGCCAAGACCACAAAATCTATAGGGAATGATAGCCAAGACCACAGAATCTATAGAGAATGATAGCCAAGACCACAGAATCTATAGGGAATGATAGCCAAGACCACAGAATCTACAGGAAATGATAGCCAAGACCACAAAATCTATAGGGAATGATAGCCAAGACCATAGAATCTATAGGGAATGATAGCCAAGACCACAGAATCTACAGGGAATGATAGCCAAGACCACAGAATCTCCAGGAAATGATAGCCAAGACCACAGAATCTACAGGGAATGATAGCCAAGACCATATAATCTACAGGGAATGATAGCCAAGACCACAGAATCCATAGAGAATGATAGCCAAGACCACAAAATCTATAGAGAATGATAGCCAAGACCACAAAATCTATAGGGAATGATAGCCAAGACCACAGAATCTACAGGGAATGATAGCCAAGACCACAGAATCTACAGGGAATGATAGCCAAGACCACAGAATCTGCAGGGAATGATAGCCGAGACCATATAATCTACAGGGAATGATAGCCAAGACCATATAATCTACAGGGAATGATAGCCAAGACCACAGAATCTATAGGGAATGATAGCCAAGACCACCAAATATATAGGGAATGATAGCCAAGACCACATAATCTATAGGAAATGATAGCCAAGACTACAGAATCTATAGGGAATGATAGCCAAGACCACAGAATCTACAGGGAATGATAGCCAAGACCATAGAATCTATAGGGAATGAAAGCCGAGACCACAGAATCTATAGGGAATGATAGCCAAGACCACAGAATCTACAGGAAATGATAGCCAAGACCACAGAATCTATAGGGAATGATAGCAAAGACCACAGAATCTACAGGAAATGATAGCCAAGACCACAGAATCTACAGGGAATGATAGCCAAGACCACAGAATCTATAGGGAATGATAGCCAAGACCACAGAATCTGCAGGGAATGATAGCCAAGACCACAGAATCTGTAGGGAATGATAGCCAGGAGATAAGTGATATCTAGAATTGCTGAATCTATAGGGGGCAATGCAGGGGATATAGGCAGCATTACACTCTCTAAAGGGAACGATGCAGGGATAGACATTGTAACTGGACCTATGGAAGACGTAGCCGTGGAAACAGAATCTTTATAGGATGGTAGACTTGTGCAAATGGACTTGTGTGAATACTTTGTTTCGGTTTGGAGCCACAACTATCACACTTGAGCTGTATTACTTGAGTCAGTTATCCTTAAACTGTAGGCACCCATACCACTTCAGCGCTTGGAGGTGGTCTGGGTGCATATTCCCTTCACCCTTAATCCTGTGCATAAAACTGCACTAATAACCTGCTAGGGTTAACTGCTCCTCTGGTGGCTGTCTACCAGGAACTTCCTGGTTTGAAACAGACCTTTGGTCCAGTATCTGATGCTGGACGTCCTCACGCTCTGCATGAGGACCTTCAGCGTCAGATTTTTACCCATAAGAAAGCATTAATAAATGTGCATTAGGTCACCCTCACCGCCGGCTGACTTCGGCAGAATGGAGCGTTGTCAGATCCTAACCCAGCGCCGAGGGACAGGTCCCAACTGTGGGATTCTATAGTGCCAGGAAAATGGGTTTGTTTTCCTAGCAGTATTGAAACCCTTTAAGGCCCATATAAATGTGATTGTGATACCTTAAGGGGATATTACCTGTGATTGCTATACTAGCCTAGGAGAGTGTATTGCTTTCTAACTTCTGCAGTGATTTGGGTAAATGTGTGTAAGGGTGTGCGAGCTGTGCGGCCGCACAGGGCACCATGGCGCAGGGGACACTCTGCGGCCGACACAGCTCACACACGGCCGACCGGAATAAAAAAAAAAAAAGAGCTTACCGTGCGACGTGGCGGGGCTTCCCGTGCAACGGGGCAGAGCTAAAAGCGCCGGATAACTGCTGCCCCACCAAACAGTCTCCAGGAGCTGCACTGCGTCCACAATTAACTCCACAGGTAACTGTGTGATTGTCAGTGTGAGTGTGACTGTCTGCCTGTGTGTGTGTGTATGACTGTCTGCGTGTGTGTCTGTGTGTGTGCATGACTGCCTGTGTGTGTGTGTGTGTGTGTGACTGTCTGCCTGTGTGTGTGTGTGTGTGTGTGTGTATGACTGTCTGCCTGTGTATGTGTGTGTCTGTGTGTGTGACTGTCTGCCTGTGTGTCTGTGTGTGTATGTATAATTGTGTGTGAGTGTGTTTATCTGCCTGTAACTGTGTATGTGTGTTACTGCCTGTACCTATGTGTTTCTACCTGATCCTGTGTATGTGACTATCTGCCTGCGACTGTGTGCATGTGGTGGATTTGACAGTGTATATGTATAACTGTGTGCATCTGACTGTGTGCACATAACTCTGCCAAAATATACACCTGCATTCACACACAGGCTTAAATGCATGTTTTTATCTGAATTAAATAACCATCACACACAGCCAATAAACCCAGCACAAATATCACATACAACCAATACACGCATATCACACGCTGTTAATACACCCATTACAAATATCACACATAGCCAACACATACATATCACGCACAGTCATCACACCTATCACATACACAGACAACACAAACATTACATCATACATGGATGTTGGGGGGGGGGAGGGGCACAGTGAAGATTTTTCGCACAGGGCGCCAAAAGGCCTAAGGCCGGCCCTGTGTGTTTCTATAAGTTTTATGTCACATTTGAAAGGTGTTATTACACGTATAGATTAATTAAGATATAATCCATATTTATTTATCTATTTTGTGCGCTGTTTACTTAGTTTGCTGTGTTTTTAATGGTGGAATTATCGTAATTGGTTCCACAGTGATAACTAGCTGCACTTTTTAAGCGCCACTTGAGCTTTTTATATGCATTGCTGTACGTGTCTCCTGCTGCATTGCTGTACATCTCCTGCTGCATTGCTGCACGTGTCTCCTGCTGCATTGCTGTACAGCTACTGCTGCATTGCTGCACGTGTCTCCTGCTGCATTGCTGCACGTGTCTCCTGCTGCATTGCTGCACGTGTCTCCTGCTGCATTGCTGCACGTCTCCTGCTGCATTGCTGCACGTGTCTCCTGCTGCATTGCTGTACGTGTCTCCTGCTGCATTGCTGCACGTGTCTCCTGCTGCATTGCTGTACGTGTCTCCTGCTGCATTGCTGTATGTGTCTCTCGCTGCATTGCTGTACATCTCCCGCTGCATTGCTGTAGGTCTCTCGCTGCATTGCTGTACATCTCCCGCTGCATTGCGGTACTTCTCCTGCTGCATTGCTGTACGTCTCTCGCTGCATTGCAGTACTTCTCCTGCTGCATTGCTGCACGTGTCTCCTGCTGCATTGCTGCGCGTGTCTCCCGCTGCATTGCTGTACGTGTCTCCCGCTGCATTGCTGTACGTGTCTCCTGCTGCATTGCTGTATGTGTCTCTCGCTGCATTGCTGTACGTCTCCTGCTGCATTGCTGTATGTCTCTCGCTGCATTGCGGTACTTCTCCTGCTGCATTGCTGTACGTCTCTCGCTGCATTGCAGTACTTCTCCTGCTGCATTGCTGTATGTCTCCCACTGCATTGCTGTACGTCTCTCGCTGCATTGCTGTACGTCTCTCGCTGCATTGCGGTACTTCTCCTGCTGCATTGCTGTACGTCTACCGCTGCATTGCTGTACGTCTCCCGCTGCATTGCTGTACGTCTCCTGCTGCATTGCCAATTTATTCCCACATTGTGATTGTTGACTGAGTGTTTAACCTTGTCCTTCTTGGTTCCTGTTGCCCCAGAGCAATCTATGTTTTCGTGTTTCTTGTTTCTGGTATTTATGGGGTATTTACATAACACGTAGATAGTCACTTGGAGGGCAGGTACAGCGGAATCCATGATAATGCTGTAAAGTCACCCAGACTACGTCATCTCAATGCAGTGTCAAACATTGTTATTTTGTAGAACCTGGAACTTTTACATTCCAGGGTTAAATCCAGCTCTAGTTGCTGTCTTCCTAACTCACTCCTGGAATGAAATGCTGCTGAAATTGAAGGAGCTCGGCCTATGGCCACATGTCTAGTTCCAATAGAAAAGGAATGGGTTGATAGACAAAGCTGGAGGCTGCAGTAGGGGACTCCGGGTGCTGGAAACCAGGTGAATAATTATTAACTTTCATTTTTTAAATCCAAAGGATGGTGGAAAGAAAGGTAGCTATAGCCCTTAACGATTGTTATTTTTTTTGGAACTATAGGTGTCCGTTAATGGAGAATGGCCAGTCAATTCTAACAGAGCTACAGAGACACGTGATCTGCTGCAGACAGATCTTCTACTACCATTACCGGTATGTTGGGGCTAAGAACTTGTACTTGTCCGACAGGTAAGGCAGCCCGGGATAGAAAACGGATCCTCACGGCAACTCAAAGATGAGAGGCATTATAGAGTCGTGAGTCCAGGAATTAATGGTGCATTACTACGAAATCTCCCACAATGTTTGATCATGTAGTGAGGTAGAAATGAACTGTGTGTCTCACAATGGACCCTAACTTACATCAGTCGGCCATTAGTCAGAAACGGAAAACTCCAACATGTATCCTTCCAATTAAAATACATAAAGGATCTGGATTCCAATAACGTCACAAAGCCAAAATATTACCCGTGGCGAAAGGCATCAGCCTAATGAGTTTGATGAATCTTTCTATATAAACTACTACGTAGCTAATATTCTTAATATTATTACCTTTTATACTCCTGCCTCTATAAGGGATAGTTTAATACAGTTGGGAGACCCAGTTTAGTTCCTTCCTCTAAAGATGCAATGATAGTTTTATAAGAGGCGTAGGGCCACGTTAACATTCCTATGGGAAGGATATAGTTAGAGGCCGTAATATGAATATCAAAGTAGCCAACCTGTGAAGGCAAACATTAGAAAACAACAAACAAGACGAGAGCTCAGAACAACACATTACTCTCAAACAGAACTGGAAACATTACACGGAGGTTGTCTGGATATAAACCTGGCGTTCTCCGAGCCAAGCACTGTCTATAACAATATGTAACAGAGTGTAAACACATTCTGCCTGCTTTGGGAAAAAAACAATTAATACAGACCAGAAATGTCACAATGTTGTTAGAATAAACACGGCAGTTTGTTATCAACACAAAGAGTGATAAGAGATGGTTTTCCTCCAATTTCAAAGAGTGACCCTGAAACTAAACCATACAGTAAATAATGTGCAGTCTGAGCTTAAATTGGGAGAATTTATACTATAGGGGGAAAATGAGAGCGTCCAGAGTACACGGAGTGTACACATATTATTGGGGTATAATGAGACGGTCTCTGTGAATAGAGAGTGTACACACATTATTGAGGTGTAATAAGACAGTCTCTGTGAATACAGAGTGTACACACAATATTGGGGTATATTGAGACAGTCTCTGTGAATAGAGAGTGTACACACGTTATTGGGGTGTAATGAGACAGTCTCTGTGAATACAGAGTGTACACACAATATTGGGGTATATTGAGACAGTCTCTGTGAATAGAGAGTGTACACACATTATTGGGGTATAATGAGACAGTCTAGGAGTACACAGAGTATACACACATTATTGGAGTATAATGAGACAGTCTATGTAAATAGAGAGTCTACAAACATTATTGGGATAAAATGATACAGTCTCTGAATAGGGAGTGTACACACATTTTTTGGGTATAATGAGACAGTCTCAGGGAATACAGAGCGTACACACATTGTTGGGGTATAAAGAGACAGTCTATGTAAATAGAGAGTGTACACACATTATTGGTCTATAATGAGACAGTCTATGTAAATACAGAGTGTACACACATTTTTGGGGTATAATGAGACAGTCTAGGAGTACACAGAGTGTACACACATTATTGGGGTATAATGAGACAGTCTCAGGGAATACAGAGTGTACACACATTTTGGGGGTATAATGAGACAGTCTCAGGGAATACAGAATATACACAGTATATAACAGGAGTCTGAGCAATAACCAAAAATGGCCAGCAGTCCCAGCTGGGGCACCCTTGGCACAGCAACCCAAGAATTTCCATTTTAAAGCCTTTTATTTGCCACAGGTAGCCAAAGAGAAGTTATTCTACCTTTAACCCCTTAAGGACGGAGCCAAATGTACATGTTGTGATCAAAACAAAATGTAAACAAAACCTGGCATTTGCGCTACATGTCTGTCCAACCGTAATTCACCTCTTTCATATTAAGTGCACCCACACTTATATAATTTTGTTCAGGAGAAACAGGGCTTTCATAGCATATCAAATATTTATAGCTGAAACATAATTTAATATTAATAAAATGTAAAAAAGTATGAGAAATTAAGAAATGTTCTGCATGGCATTTTAACTGTGAATGTCATAATACTGTTAGCTGTTACTGCAATAAAATACACATATTTGTATTCAGAAATGTCTCCCGAGTACAGCAGTGCCCCCAATGTACAGGTTTTATGGGGTGTTGCAAACTTACAGGGGTCAGTGTAGGGCTTTCCCCTTTTCCATGTTTGCACATTGAAGCTTGCCAGATTGGTTTGCTGGGCCTATGTTGCCTTTCAGACCGTATGGCAGCCTAGGAATTTAAATGAACCCCATCATGGCATACCATTGGTAAAAGTAGACAACCCACGTTAGGGGCTTTATGCAAGTTTTATATAACTGACTCTATCTATATGTTTATCTCGCCCTCCCTATTCACCATACCTTTTGTTCCATATCATCTTAGGAGAAGCTTTACGTAGGGATATACTGTCGAACTAAGATAGTGTTTGCGAGCTGTTACACAATAGAAATATTGGGAGCTAGAGATGTCGCGAACCGTCCGCGAACTTCTCGCGAACGGTTCACCACGGTCGCCACGAACCGTTCGTGGCGAACTCTGGTCAGCTGACACATCCCGGCCAATCTCCGGCAGACCCTCCCTCCCAGACCCTCCCACCTCCTGGACACCTGGCTGGTACGACTTGCTTCTGTATAGATTACCGGAAACTAAATGACTGGACCATTACCGATGTCTACCCCATACCCCGGGTAGATGAGTTGCAGGATTGCATGGCTGGGAGGAATTACCTAACTACCATAGATTTGTGAAAAGGTTATTGTCAAATCCCCCTGAAGCCGGCCGCCATTCCTAAGTCGGCCTATACCAGTTTAAACCCTTCCCGACCATGGACGTATCAGGTACTGTAACGGCTACCCAGGTTGTAAGGGGGTATCAGCAGTTGGAGACGTCCTTTTCCTGCAAGCTGCTGTGTAGTAATCGAGTTTCTTATTCCCATCCACGAGATCCAAGAGTAGAGTCAGGCATAGCTGTAAAATGGAGCAAGGTAATTGTGCAGTAAATCCCCTTCCAAGAACGAGACGAGGCTACGTTTTGAAGGGTCAAGCAGAACTGGCTTTTATTAACAGGGATTCTCCTTTTATGCAATTCTGCCCTTGGGAGGGTGACACCTACATAATTAGTACAGTACCTAATCACAAACATGGTACATAATAACATAACTAACACACACACATCTTTACCCAGGTTTTGGATGTACCCCAAATACTTGGAGTACACCCTTAAATTCAGTATCCCCAGATAGCCCTCATCTAGGGGAACAACATATTAAAAAATCATCCCATTCGGTAAAAGCGTTCCGGAGTTATGGGACTTTAAAGTTTTGACCGACCGCATAGGCACACTAGCCGAATATAGTTCCATAAGTTTTGGCCTTGCGGTCGGTCCTCGTTCGTGCGATGAAAAGGCACGAAAATCCTGTCATCCGTGTATGTCTTGCTGGTCGCTGGAATCCCTGCACGTAATATATCCTATCTACCGAACGGCAGGGCGTTCAGTAGTTTCATCACGAATTTACGGTGTTATGGAGGTTTCAGCGGTGTCCTACTCGAGTGTCCGATTTTAGTTCCAGACACTCGACGGCAAATCACCGCTGTTCGTGCGTTAAGATGGCCGCGAACATGTGCAAAGTCCCGAAATGGCGGCCACCTTGGATCTGAAACAAAGGATTCGTGCATTTCTCATACGAATGGTATACGCTGGTCTGGGAGGTAAAATACCACATAATTGAATAGCAGGGTGGTCCGGTGTTCCGTAGTTTGTATTCGTATTTGTGCCTGCTGAGTCTCTACCACATGGATTGCACAAATAGACGAATACTGTGAACAAAAATCCCGAACTGTGCTATAATAATCCCTATAACCAGGTAAGCATATGCTCTTGTATCATTAGTCTTGGTTATTGTCAAATATGTCCAGGCAGAAAGTAAAGTTCTGTTACAGGTACGTCCGGCAAAAAACGGTCCTTAAGGACAGTGGACGTACCTGATACGTCCGCGGCTAATTTGAACGCTGGAAGTGATCATGATGGCTTCCAGACACTCGGATGGTATTGCAGCCATTGCAGCGAATGCCTCTTCTTAGTGACGGGCGCCGGGTGATCGCTCCCCCCGCTGCGATCACCTCCGGGTTGCTTCACGTGGCGCCCGGCAGTTAAGCAGATAATCGGAAACCATCGGGCAGGCTTCTGATGCTCTGCCTGTGCTGAGGGCCTTCGAGGTGTCGAGGCACTCACTGAAGATAATAAAAAACAAACAAAAAAAAAACAAATAGAATTAAATAAATAAATGTAAGCTATAACCACCCCCCTGCCATGTGGCTGCCAAGATGGCGCTGCCTTTCTAAGGGCAATGCATCATGGGACTTCTGGGGGTGTCCCTAGCCTGCTTCATCATAGAGGCAGGCTAGGGACATCCGATCAGAGATTGCCCCTATAACAATGTTTCTACTAACTATGATCCCCATTTGTCTGATCAGGTCAATATTAGTAAATTGACTCTGATCAGTATGGACCTCCTTCCCTCTCTTCACTTGTGTTTTAGTGAGAGAGAGATAGAGAGAGAGATCTGTGTTTTAGTGAGAGAGAGAGAGAGAGAGAGATTATTATTATTATTATGATATTTATAGAGCGCCATCAAATTCCGCAGCGCTTTACAATGGGTGGACGAACAGACATGTAATTGTAACCAGACAAGTTGGACACACAGGAACAGAGGGGTTGAGGGCCCTGCTCAATTGGCTTACATGCTAGGGGGAGTGGGGTAAAATGACACAAAATGGTAAGGATAGTATTAGACTAATGACAGTTGCAGATGAGGAATCAGTCAGGACTCAGGAGCTATTAACAGTTTAACTGATACGCTTTTATGAAGAAATGGGTTTTTAACGATTTTTTTGAAGGAATGGAGACTGGGTGAGCATCTAACGGAGGAGGGAAGCGAGTTCCACAGGAACGATGCAGCCCTCGAGAAATCTTGAAGGCGAGCATCAGAGGTGGGTGTACGGACAGAAGATAGACGTAAGTCTTCAGCAGATCGTAAGGGCCTAGACGGGACATACTTGTGTATAAGGGAGGATAGATAGGTGGAAGCAGCATTATGTAGAGATTTGAAAAGCAAGAACCAGAATTTTAAAGAGAGATCTGTGTTTTAGGTAGAGAGATTTAAGTCATTTTAGGTAGGGATTTGTAAAATTGTGAGACCCAAAGGCTCTTTTCAGAGCCATTAACCCCTATCTTGCCAGTGGTCACTATAATCACTGGCTCTTGCACAGCAGCACTTTTTTGCTGTCTGCATTTTTTTAGGGGTTCAATTTATTGTGATTTTGTTTTTGTGAGACCCAAAAGCTCTTTTCAGAGCTATTAACCCCTATTCTGCCAGTGATCACTGTATAGATCACTGGCTCCTGCACAGCAGCACCTTTTTTGCTGTCTGTGCATTTTTTTTTTTAAAGTAAAGTGATTGTGATCATGTCACAGGGGTCACAGAGGTTGTATAGCGCTGAGCAGGCGTATGCCATCCTTGCGCTAGAGTGTGACGCGTCTATGTCATACTCCGGCCCTGATTTTGACGCTGCCAGGTGCTCAGATACATCATCACTAGATACAGTGTCTGCTGCTAGTGATGTATCTAGTGATGTTGTATCTGTGCCTGCTAGTCCCCCTGCCAGAAGGAGACGTGCTGCTCCAGCTGGCAGAACTGCTGAGGAGTGGGTAGTGCCTCATCGCCAGAGGCCAGATATCCCATCCTTTACTGCAAATCCTGGCATTAATTTGGATGTCGCAGGATTTAGCCCTCAGCAGTTTATGGAGGTGTTTCTGGGCAACGATGTATTGGGGAACATTGTCGCTCAAGCTAATTTATATTCCCATCAGTTCCATGCTTCTAAGTCTGAGTTTTTTTGGCAAAGCAGCAATGGGCCCCTGTGGCGAAAGTAACCTCGTCACTGGTTCTTGGAGGGACCTGTTTGCCAGCCTCAGGACTATTGGCCATGCAAAAAGGATCATAAAAGACTTTTGTGCCTTTTTGCTCTTCTGTTCGGTAGATTGCATTCCCCTCCTATTCTAACATTGTCCCGTTCGACTACCGAACAACCGCACGAACTAGGGACCACCCGGGAGCTTGTTAACACCTATTAACACGTGGGAACAATTCCCACTGCAGTGTTCTAATTGGCTAAAACAGTTGCATCAAAGGCATCAAAGCACTCCATATACAATACCTCGGGGTGTCTACGTTTCAAATATATACACTTTCATAGCAATAAATAAAGCCGGGGTACGTGATAAGCACCAAACTAAACATAGGAAATGTTTTGGGCTATCCCCTCGGGGCGGGTCAGTCAAAACTTTAGTCAAACAGAACTTTTCCACCGAACAAATCTTTTTGTGGGGTCCCTTTATTCTTTTCGTGTATTTTTGGGATATGTTAAAATGTATGTCATTTTCTGTGTTTTTTGACCATTATGACAACACAGTAACACAAGGCAAGCGGATTTTCTCAGATTAAGCAAAAAGCTGTAAATTCTCGGAAATTCCGATGACATTTTACATTTTATTAAATAAAATCTGGATTAATATCGCCTCACCTCTTCCCTCCCAGTTTCAGCTTCCCCTCCCCTTCCAGCCTCCAATCCCGTAGTCCCTCCCTCCCTTGACCTTTCATCACTCCTTTCCGCCCTCTCTGCTCCCTCTCCTCTCCCCATCATCCCTTCTGTCCCAGTTTCAGCTTCCACTCCCCTTCCAGCCTCCAATCCCGTAGTCCCTCCCTCCCTTGATCTTTCATCACTCCTTTCCGCCCTCTCTGCTCACTCTCCTCATCAACACTTCAGTTCCCAGTTTCAGCTTCCACTCCCCTTGCAGCCTCCAATCCCGTAGTCCCTCCCTCTCTTGATCTTTCATCACTCATTTCCGCCCTCTCCGCTCTTCTCCCTCAGCCTACTCAGACCCCGTCACCTCCGGTTATGACTATCACTTCCTCTTCCGCCCCCTCACCCAGTCCAGTTCCTGTCTCCACCTCCCTCTTGGCGGCTCCCAGTTACCCAATCATGATAGTTGGGTCGAATGAATCTGTTGCATCAGAACAACCTCATGCTGTAGGCGCCTCTCCTGCTGCATCAGGCATTCATCCCACTACCTCCCAATTAGTTACTCCCTATCAGGATTACTGTATGATCCAGCACGTTGAACTGTACAGCACGGATGACAAATAAGTAACGTATTACCGGTCCGTAGAATGGCTGGATTTAACGTACATAGAATAGTCAAAAATACTAGCCGAGGTCAGGGAACACAGAAAGGGACACAGCGATGAGGAAAGCCAGGAGTCAGGATACCAGAATATAGAGAAGTCAATAAGCAAAGCCAAAGTCAAAAACCAGTAGAAAACTATAAACAGGAAC